ATACTGTTAATAATATCAGAACAATCATATCTGTTATTGCATAAGTCATACAAAGTCATGCACTCCAACAGTTGACGTTTGGAGTGTAGATCTAACAAATTATATTTTTCAAGAAGTCGCTCATATTTAATTGTATTACCCTTACATCTATAGTGCTATGTACACAATTTACATACCTGCATTATTTAACGATTACAGTTCACGTAGTGGATGGAGGAGCGGACCCAGGTAATTAAAACAGATATCTTTTTTACTATTTTACATTTTTGTAAAAACTATTTTTTTACCAATTTTATTGACACGAGTACGCTGACCTCTGTAATGTGATCGTACCTTTGACTTATGTCCTGTTGAATTAAAAAAAACGTAAAAAGGAAAACAAGTAGTAGTGCACAGGCAGTTCATTCATACATTTAATTCTTTGTATCTGACATCAAAAATTTAGAAAGTTCTCTTCGGAGAATTTGAAGAAAATATTACACCTCTAACGGTGGCAAATTAGAGAATCAGTTCGGTCACAACAAAACTTGGCAAATAGATAATTTATAACTATAGAACAAACCATGTCAGAAAAAGAAAATGTATAATGCATAGAAAAAGACGTGCAATATGACAGTGATGCAACATTGCCATTTACAGCTTCGAGTCACCGCCACGGAAGATCTTAATATAAATTAAGATCTTCCGTGGCGGTGACTCGACGATACTTGAATTTGGACGAGACGACTTAAACACGTGAGTTTAGTCAATATGCCTGAGTCACGTTAGTTTATAATTGAGTTTAAATTTAATTTAATTTAACCTAATTCTAATGCATTTCGCGGAATGGGGACCTGGCGACCTGTAATACAGTTATTTTTATGCCCAATTTAGGAACAATGAACAAATGGACAATGGACATTTCACTACATACCTAATTGAGGCTATCGAACATAATTATTTTATATTTGGATGTTGTTGTATAAAAATGCATATATAAAAATATTTAAATACCATTTTTTTAAATATTTAGTATGATAGAGGAAAATTGTAGAAAAAGAATTGCATATGTGTTACACCACTTTTGCACATCAGGCATCAGCCATTACCTTGTTGATGTTGAGAGAAAATAAATAATATAATTTTTTTACTAGCTTTCTATTTCAAATTTTAATGAATAATACTTTTTTTCAGTGAACGTAGTGAATGGACCAAATTATTCGCCTCGGTGATGGGTGTTTTCATAATTCTAAGTATAGTACGAAAACCATGACAACAGCGTTCTTCATCCAGACCAAAGATCAATTTTAGTCTAAATAAACAACCAATTTAAGACAACTGTACAATGTAGCTTTAATAACCATACACGGTAAATATTAACAAAATGAAATAAACTTATAAGCTATCTGAATTTGTTGATTTTACTTCTACCTATTAATTAACCAATTACAACTTAACCTTAGTGATGATTTTTTAATCTACCAATAGAATATGTAATAATAGCTAGCCTATGTAGTCCCACTGCTGGAAACAGGCCTCCTCTCACAATGAAAGAGCTTGGATTGTAGATGACTGCACTGCTGATTAGGAACTTTCTGCAGATGTGTGCAGGTTTCATCACGATATTTTCCTTCATCGAAAACTTCATGGTAAATTTCGAATAAAATTTTGCACATAAATTCCATAACACTTAGATGTGCAAACCCAGATTGGAACCCACGACACTTTACCTGAGAGGCGGTACGTCAAACTATTAGGTTACCACGACTTTTTTAATTTAATCTATCAGGCCTACTTTAATTCTAGATACCTCACATTATAAGCCACTATAAACCAATTCGAAAGAACTGTAAGTGAACTATTCAAAAGTGATTCTTTTCATCTTGTTATACAACAAGCGAACAAACACTAAGGAAAATTCCTTCGACTTTTCCCGACTGGATTCGAACCAGCGGCTATTGCCTTAACGTGGCTGCCGCTGTGTTGCCCATGCTCTGCGTGGCAGACCAGCATGTTCTGGTCTGCCACGTCTCGGTCAGGTCCCTGGTCTGTCTGCCGGGCCGGGATAAATATTTGTATGGCCTACATTTATTTCTTTCGTGAGTTTTCCCTAGTGCGGGGCTATGAGTGTGTGCGTTAAAAAAATTTATTCGGTGATATTATTATCTTGTTTTTTTTCTTTCTCTCATTTTTTATGAATTAAGTACGTTCAATAAGTTTACTTTAACACGATTGATTTTGTCCATATGGAACGTTCCCGTAACTTTAATAAAAGAGTAAATTTCGTTTCTACTTGATTTGTTTGCAAATCAAAAAGCTTTTAGAATTCATTATTATGAAGCTAATTTTCTCGTTATAATGTTTTTTTTTAATTTGTAACGAAAATGTACCAACATAAATCAACTTACGTGGGACCTACACTCGAGCCAACAACAAGACTGTGTTGGTTAACAGGTTCCTGAAGTTTATTTTTATTGTAATGTAACCTACGAAAAATAAATTAAAAGTAGGAGAAAATCAAACATCAATTATTAGAGACGAACGTACATAGATATTATGTTGTATAATATGCGTTTATGTTCTTTTCGTGCTTTTCTTAAAAAGATTGTTGTTTCATAAGAGTGAAATAAATTTCTCAAAAACATTTGCGCATATGCGCAATGAATTGTGTGCAATTCATAAAGAATGTATTGCAAATGTTGAATACATGCCTCTTTGAATGAGCAAAATTGGGATGACGCACGACCTCCGAGATTAAGCATTGGGGTCAAGTGCGAGCGGCATCCGTAGGGGCCCCACTAATATTTTGATATAAAGTGACCCTGCTATTATAATACACTCGAATGTTACCTTCATTACGAAGTCCCGTGATTTATCAGTGAATTTATTGACAACGTGGGACTTAAGGCCGGGCGAATATAAGTGAATCAAGGGTATATAAATTAGTGGTCCTAATTTGATCGATACCGAGAAGTTGTTGTTGTGATATAACCAAATTACACATTTATTTGCTACAACGTTCCAAAATGAAGTTGTTGTCGCATCTACAGAATAAAAATATAAGTTACTAAACTACTTCAATCTCATAGTTACGTCAAAAATGCACATTAACTAAACCCACGTGTTGTTACAACGATGTTCAAGTAACACGTACGTAACACAATCTAACCTACGCAGTTAAGTACCGGAATTCTGATTAATACGAACGCAATGCACCCAGACGTAACGTGCTTAAATAGAACGTAACTTGCATGTCTTCGTAATCTATTGGAATCGATTCTCAAATATAAGGCATAAACAGCTCCAAAGTCCGGTATTAAGTGTCACACAGATCCCGAGATGTGTCTCAAGATAAGAGATCATCGGCATCTTGGTCAATGCCATATCAATTAGTTTTACGTTCGCATATAAACTGACAACCTGGTCACTTTATTTTCATCTCAGTTGTCATTTAATTTCAGAATTCCCTCAAACATACCTAAGTTTGTTATAACACCTTTGGTATTACCGAGACTGTTCTGTCCTTAATATTCATGTCCCAAGGCTTTGCAGATGTCGCTATATAAATTTCATAAAACAATACTATTAAACTTTAGTTTCATATTGCCCGAGACAATTGTTCTCTTGTATTTATTGTTTTTCTTTGTAGCACTTTTTAACATTTAGTTGTCGTATTTAAGTTTATATTTATTTTGCTAGCTGTGTTCACTAAGAATTAGTTTTGCGTAATTACATAAGATCCTCACCACATTTAGTTTCTTGTGTGTAATATTGTAATAACCAGGGATGGAAATAGGAAGAGTTTTTTACCTAAACTTCGAGGAACATAGACAGAAAATGCGGACTGCCTTAGGGCAATATTTTTAGGTCCCAGGACCTTTTCAGGTTTGGGGAAATCACTTAAGAACATTAAAAATTGACGTAATGGGGTACAGGCAGGTACACTATATTTATCTTAACTTTACGACGCACAGTGGGCCGGATCTGCGATATTGCGGACAATGGATTTTTTTTCACGATAGAGGTATTATAAATAAATAATTAGAGATAAATATAGTATAGATAGATAAATATTAGAGAGGTCTAAAAAATGCCCATCGAGAGATCCCATTATCCTAATTAAATATTGTCGTATCACATAAATATGATATATATATAACCTGCCATAAATATGATAGTTTAGTAGAAAAAAAATGTGTATTTTTGTATGGGACCATACCTTTAATGCTCCATTGTTACAAAGTCTTAATCGATCCTGTCTTGGAATCACTACAGACGTATTATTAGAACTATCTTCTATAGATTTGCACACTAAACGCGTGCCCAAACGTGTCTATTCACTACTTATATTCCACATTTTCTGACGCGTACTTTGTAACAATGGAGCACTAAATTTGTGGTCCTATACAAAAATACACATTTTATTTTTTTCCTACTTAACTATTTGATTTATGGCAAAATGTGACATGACAATATTTAATTAGGATAATAGGATCTCTCGATTGGCATTTTTTTGAGAGGTATTGTGAAAAAAATCCAATGTCCGCAATATTGCAGGTCCGACACACGACGTTTCATTGCAACACCAATTTTTCCGAATATATAGGAAAATTTTGTCAAAAAAAAATCTACTTAATATATTATCTAATTGGAATTATTATAGCTTTAGGATCCCGAAGGAATGTCTATAAATCAACAGTATGCACGTTTGGAATATATATCTTAATAATTCTAAAATTAATAAATATATAATTAATAATTCGCAAAACGTGTTACAAAGAACAAAAACGTGCTGCTGGTTGCAGGAAGTATTCAATTTACTAAGAACTCCAGACTACTTTCTGCAATTGCGCAACCTTTATTCAACTTATAATCTGAATTTAAACGACCGCGTGCAAATGAGACAAACTGGCCTTCGTGGCATAAGAGCGATAAAGACAACAATATGTTATCAGTGTCACTTTAGTGTCCAATCTGGTTCTGTAAGTAAACACTCTGTGAATTTCACATGGAAAATCTCAATAGGAAATAATGATGCATTGTGCCCAATGAAGCCAGGCCAATCGTGCCGATGACATCACTGGCTAAAGAGCCCAACTGAGTTTAATTGAGTGCCACGCCGAGAGGACTGATCGACCACTATTTGTATCCCAGCTGCGTTTGCGACATCGCCGACGTTTTTGTATCTTAGTTTTCTACGTGTATTTTACAATAAGACGTTCCTAATGAGCGCTCCTATTGCAGGATTCATATTCGCTATTGTTTTGGTGAGTTTTCTTTTATTATATTATCAACGAAGACTAGGTAGTGTACTTGTAAGCATTGCCATTGGAGGAACTTGTACGTTTACTACTTAATAATACATCTACACAAATTGAAGATGGTATTCAACAGTACGAAAAATACACTGTTTTGTAAATACTATACCGTATCTTCATAGGTACCTCTGTCCAATTGTAATTTGTTGATCGTTTTATATAAACGAGTAACAGATTACCTACAGAGTTTCAAAATGCATTTTGATATTTGTCTTTACAGGCAGTACTCGTCGTCATATTCATAGCGTACTGCATGTTCTGCAGAGAGAGACACAAGTCCGAATATCATCAATACGATATAGCTGACCTTAAGAAGAGAAATCTCGAAATCGCACAAGAGCATGAGAGTAAAGCGAAGAAAAAACAACTTGCAGCTGGGATATTCATATTACCAACCAAACATAAACAAAAAGACGATTATGAGCGAAAAAGACCTGACTACCCTGAGAGTCCTCCACCTTTGGCACTGCCAGTTGGGAAACTTGTAGAAGTACTCGACAATGAGAGTTCTGACGTGGAATACAAAGATGGTATACTGGAAATCGACTCCAACTCACAATATCATAGCGAAGTTTAGATGTAATAAAGACAGATGATTGATAGTCATACTTTATTCGAAACATTAGCAATAAAATGTGCCGTATATCGTACATTCATAAAGAGAGTACTGTTTATGAACAACTGTCTTTTGTTACATCGGCAAACGATATTGAAACTACGTATTACATGCTTGTACTAAAACGTCAATGTGCATTGTCACGTGATTCCAGTCATGGAAGAGCGACGGAACGCTGCTGTTACGTTTATAGTTATGTATTGCTTTTAAATCGTTACAAGGATAAATGCTTCTCGTAAAGAAATATTTTTAACATATTCAGATATTTTACGTGTATATGAAATGGATAGCTATTTACTCATACCAAGTCACATTAAATGAAATTTTTATATATACGTGTTTTTTGTAAATGTTTACCCGTTGTATAAATTATTTACAGATTCGTTTATTCGCCGCTGTAACGTAGTCCTTATATTAAGATGGTTGTGTGCCCTGTGTCACAACATCGAACACTTAATACTTCGAAACCTTTTTTTTTCATTGTCAAACATTTAGAACCTTTTCTCATTGTTATATCTTAACTGATATTCTGATATCTTCTGATATTTTTTTTATCACAGAAAACGATAAAGAATGTACGATCGCAAAAATTAAAAAAGTCCAATAGATTCATTCGCATAGTCTAAACCTGTTGACCTGGTGACATATGAGAAATGAAGGTTGTTTTAAACATTGTAAATTTTTAGAATGATTATTTATACGATACGATAGAGATCTTACAACTTATAACAAGCGAAGAGGTGTGAATAATTATTAATAATAAATTTAATAATTAAAAATAAATTTTGATTATTTGAAATTAGACCTTAGGATTGTTCATAAAAATCGCAACTATTTACACAATTCTTTCCAATCGCTAATTCATAATAACTTTTAGCCAAAACTTGTTTGTGTACTTTATGATAACCAGACAACCAGACAACATACATTTTTTCAAGCAAACCAACGTTTCTAGTCCTTTACCCCTTAGGTGCCATGGTCAAGACTAACTAAGATGGTAAAATCACAGACCTAGTGGGTAAAATCAACAACCTATTATATATCTAATATTAATGCAAATCACACTGTTTTTCAGTATAGTTACAAAAGTTCTATCAATCATTACAGTCAACCTGACCATGGGACCTGTAAAGGTTGAACGTCAGTTTGTTTGAAAAAATATACGCGATTTAGACCGAAAATATAATTTCGTTTACTATGTGTAGCAACCGCGAAAACCTAAGGACTCGATGAAACTTTCATAAATTAGCAATAATAATATCTTACCTCCTTTAGTCTCGTTATAGACAAACGACAACCACTTCCCGAGACCTGTAATTCACACAATATTTAACAATAATAATTAAGGCGCATTTTTGTACAATATTATGACTAGCATAAAATGCTTACAATTGCCCGAGAACTTAAAGGTTTTCCTTTGTTTGTGAGTTCGCTTTACAATGGTGGGACATGAGTCAGTAAAAATATTTTTAGATATGATTGAAACATTATTATACAGTGCAGAGGCGGTTATTTATTCTAATTTACTTTAGTATGCGACGTGAAAAAAACAATATTCAAATAAACCAAATAAACTTAAGGCGAAGACTGACCGGATCTCTTCAACGTAAAGACCGAATCCGCCTACCCGGCTACACAGTCGGCTTAGTGTTGGCGGCCTTATTTCTAATCTAAGCCTGACGTGATGAATATGACAAAGGCGAATATTCTATTGTCATACAATTGATATGAAATCGACACAGTCGCTGGTTGCGGCAACTGGACACAGTCGCCGGTTGCGGCAGTCAGGTACTGTCGCCGGTTGCCGCAATTTGTATGAAAATAGAATATTCACTTCTAGTTGCCGGTTGCTTATATTCAACACAAAACATAGGCTTGCGTCGCGCCTATAGCAAGCCGAGCCGACCGCGCCGGAATTGCCGCGCGCTCCACCGTTTGTCCTGTCTTTTGACGAATCCCCTTGAGTGTTACGATACGCTTCAATTTTAGGTCAGTACAGCTAGGAGCATCGTTACGATTTATTTATTAAATAACCATTTAGTAGCAGTAGAGCTCCTTGTGACAGAGCTCATCCAGGGTAGTACTGTCACTTTACCTATTTCTGATGCCAAGCTGCAATGTCAGCATTACTGTGTTCCGGTTTTTAAGGGTAAGGGTGCTGGTGAAATTACAGGCACTTCACGTCGCAGGGTGACGGGCGCAGTGCCAAGCCAAGCCAATCTGAGTGACACAGCAACTGTTATGGATAGGCGTGTAATTTACGGTCAGGCGCACGACTTGTTCGTCCCGTCGCTTAATTATAAAAAAAAAACATTTCGACTGCGAATACGGACCACGGTACGACGAACGTACGAAACGAGTAATGATACCGGCCAGGCTAACACCGCAACGTATGCTACGTTACGCGAATGTTACGTTACGATAAGATTTTCGATCACACACCTTTAGATGTAAGCACAAGGGTGTTAAGTTGGGTTTGGACCTATTATCATCCTAATAATTTTAAACGGAATACTAGGATTTCATAGGAACAAGGAAATTACTTTCTCATATAAATCAATGAAAAACTTTTATTTAGAAATTTTATTTTTTTATTTTCGCTGTATTGCTATTAAGAGTCTATACTACCTCAAATGGCTTTGGTTGATTCCGCATAACAGTGAAAGTGTAAAACGCGGTATGAAAACACGATTCCTAAACATTTTCACGATAGAAAATAAAACACAAACAGCTCGAAATTTTACAAGAAAACCGCTGTATTCAATAGGTACTTTACATATACCATTTTTTTATATTAACTAAACTAAATAGAACACGTTTACTTTGATTTCTTTCGTAAAAAAATTACTTCTGAAATAAAGCCAATGTCCCTTCCGCTCGACTCAAGCAAAATGACCCGTATTAGTACGGGAAAAATTTTAGTTCGGTCTGTATTCTGTTTGAGATATGAGACAAGTAATTAAAGCGTGCATCTATCATTTTTTTTGTGATACAAAAGACGGGACGAATGAGTAGTGTGCCTGGTGGTGCACGATACCCCTGTCCATAACAATTCCAATACCGCTCAGAGCTTTAAATGGCAAAGATCTGAGGCACTGCCACTGCGCCCGTCCCCATGAGGCATAAGTTTCAAGTCCCATGTGCCTATAATTTCGCCAGCTTTCTTACCGTTCAAAACCGAAACGCTCACATAAAATACTTTGTAAGAAGTATGTAACGTGAATTGGAATGTTCTGTGGAAAATTAAAAACAAGGTATTTGACTATTATCTTTGTAACAATAGTGAAAAATAGGGTTTGCATTACATAATATTAGTTAATAAAATATAATAGGTATAATATAATAAATGGGGTTTGCATTAATTTTAAACGTAATTGGTTTATTTGAGAAATGTGTATACACGCTATAAGATCCGAGAAAAATAGCTTCATTTGCTTTGCATAACATTCGCAATAACTTAATAAATACTACATCAATACTCAAAAATGTATTCAAAGTTCATTATAGGTACATAAACTAAAATCAGGATTGATATAATGTTTTATATTGAGTTCTTAGGTCTTCCCGATTATTATACACATTTTACATGAAAGTATTTATTCGGATCTAAATTGAGGTTAACATTTTTTTGTTTTTATTACCTTAATGAGCTAAATATTTGTATCTACCTAACACCCCGTACAAGTTCAATTTGAAGACTCTTTCTTATTTATTCATTCATTCATTTACATATCTTATGAGTATGTACAAAAAGGTATAAGTCATGATACCTAATTCTGAAATGGCTTCTAATTTTTTAAAGAACTATGCTCACCGCCATATGCTCCACTAAAATAACCTTATTAAACGTGCAGTGGTGATTATAAGTATTAGCGATTCTAATGTAAGTACTTATGTAGTTTTAAGTATATGATATAATTTGTGGTGTGTTCCTCTTTTATTACTTTGTTATACAGGGTGTAATCGTTAAATGTGCCCAGGTGATTATTCCGTAAATATAAGAGACATCAAAAACCTTTCAACTGATATCGGCAGTACGTTACCTAATGAGTAAAATGGCATCAATAACTTTCTTAAAAATAAAATTAGACATCCAAAATTCTAACCCACACATTTAATATGACATTCGTAAAGAGGCTTTAGTTTCGAACAATAGCTTTGAATACAACATTTTATGTTTAAAGATTTTATTTCTCACCAAGAATTTCCATTCTTTACTTGCTTAAAAATAAACATTACCTTGTTTTTATTCAATTAAAAGACAGTTTTATTACTATATTCATAGCAGTTTCGTTGTCGGTAAACTTATTATTTCCTCTTTAAGTAGGTCTACTAAAACTTCTCTACGAATTTTATATTAATTGAAATGAACGAATTTTATTTCAGACAGTAGGTATAGTTACATGTCAATATGGTGTTAGTAGTATTTACAAAAATGTTAGTAGAAAGCAAAATGTTAATTTTCATGAACAAGGATGGACATCCAATACTTAAAGATTGGGCTGTCCATCCTCTCTGCTTAACAAGACTGTTGGTGCTGCCTCTCACTCTGGTGAACAGGGATGCCGATGCCATTTTCTTGCGAACGACTGCCTGAAAAGTATCAATCCTAACCTCCGCGAACATCCCTGAGGCACTACGTTGTCGAGGCAGTCCCAACAGGCCCCTGAAGGCGTTGTTGAACTGGACACACAAGGTACTGTATGCTTTTTTATGCGTAATTGCTCCACAGGTTGCACATATATAGGGTCTGGTAATATGTTTGGAAAAGGGTGATTTAACCTCGTATGAATACCGTGCAAAGCATAATATACCTTACCGCCAGTGCCCTGCGTTCCCTCTCCAGGTCAACATCCTCTGTTAAATTTTCCATGACCCAGTGACCCAGATACTTGAACTTAGTCACTTTCTTGAGTTCTGATTTGAACACCAACAGTTCACTCTTTTTAACATTGTCTATTATGTTTATCATTGTCCATCTATCGCCATGGGCCGCGGCAAATGTACAGGAGTGTTTAAGGTTTCTAGTCCCATTTTTAAAAAGTTATTGATGTTGTTTTACTCATTAGGTAACGTTTTTCGATATCAGTTCAAAGGTTTGTAATATTTCTTATATTTACGGAATAATCGCCTGGGGACACTTAACGATTACACCATGTGTACAGTACCTGCGGTAGAAACGTGGTAGTTCAATCACGAAAGTCAGATTTTTTAAATAAAACAAAAATGTACTTTTTTACATTTATTACAACTTAAACTAGCTTTCCCCTGTAAATTCCAAGTATACAAGTGTCATTCAAAATTTGAAATGCAAAACAATAGGAGATTTCCTATTATTATCTTTTGGGCATAATAATATGTGATACAGTTATCGTTTTGTTAAATGCAACAATGATATTGTGCTTCGAGTTAGTTACAAGTGTTATAGTTATTATTATTATAATCTACGCGTATTGAGCATCATTAATGTAACGTTAATTAGAAAAAAATTAAGGAAACGAAAGAATCTGGGATACGTGTGCGGCGAACACTTAAACTGGAGAACTGTAATTCGTAAATGCAAATTCAAACAGATCTTTTCAATCATTGATACTCTAATGGTACACACAGCAGAACATTACGCGATAGATGATAAATTGTAAAAGCCTCATAACCAAAAAATCTACCACGTTCGAAAATACATGAAACATAAAATAATGAAAAAATATATGTAGTTAACATTCCCTGCAACATTAAATATATGTATAAAATTACATATCGAAGAGAAACTGAAACGTCACAAATCAATCAATTTGACCATAATGTGTATAGTTAGCTAAACACGTATAGTTAGTTACATAAAATATTACTTATATAAATTATTATCAGTTTTATTCTACGCATTATTTACCGCAATACAGTTCCTTTTTAGAGCCAATACTAATTGTTAGAAATTTATCTGATAGTTCATGTTCGTATTATTGTGTGAGACCTTTAACCCCATCAGAGACTTTGTCTACGATACTCTTTTCTGTGGGTTTAAACACATTGACGACAGCATCACCTGCATCGGAAAGAGTCCTCACTACCTCGTTCCAAGCGCCTTTCATGGTCTCCATGACGTCGCGCCTCGACCTCTCATTGATCGATATTTCGGATCGTGGATATACTGACACGAACATGATTCCGATCTGAGAACGGTTAGACGAGTTTATTAATTTGACAAAAAATACAATGCAGTAAAAAGTCAGACAAATTGAATCAGGTTTTTTTCCTGGCAGAACTGATTTAAGAATTTAAACATTGGTGCTTCGAAAGACGTTGGCAACAATGCATGTTAAATTTAGAAATTCCAATATTTTGGTACATATACTAATTATTATTAAATTTTGTTACAATTTAGACACACTAAACAAACCTATTAATTTAGAAGTAAGAATATCGAAAACACTTACGATGCAAATGAAAAGCGTCAGTCGTAAATCCATTGTTCAAACAATTATTTAAAAAACCGACGTTATAAGACAACTTTGAATTTGGCAATTTTTCGAACACGATAACAAAGAGTGCGGTCTGCTCGATGATCCAATTTCTACTGTGGACAAAGAATCAACAGGAAGGCCTGAATTTACTTCGCCACACATACGTGAGTAATCTGACGACCAGTCGAAATTACAGGACAATATACTCAAGAGCTCAAGGGCTGCGATCAAAATAATAATAATATGGACATGTTAAAAATGGACATTAGTACCTTAGACCAACTACAGAAATTAATAAGCAATGGGGTAAATAAAACATTAAAAAACTTACAATTTTAAATACAATATTTTCATCAATCACAGTTTATGAGAACTAAGGACTTTTGTAACGCACAAGGAAAATCGAAATTTGTTACACTCAACACACGTATTCAAACGACTGTTTTACAGCGATGGAACATGAATGAGCGGTAGTACAGTTTTATAGCTTTTCGAATTTGATTGTTGAAATCAAATTAATAGTTATTGTTCAAATTCACAACAATCCATTTACTACCTCAAACTACGTCATTGAAAACAATAGAAGGGTACGTCAGATAGTTCCACCAAATTAGATCAAAGCAGTATTTATATCATAATCTTATAATGTAAACATAAGAGTTGTCATATGTGGAAATTGTTTGTTGACTGTAAGAATTTGTAGAGAGACACACACGTGAAACGTTTCCTTAACAATTTGTTTCATAAAATTGTTTTAATTTAATATTATTATTAACTTCATTTCTTAGAATGTTTTGCCAGTTACAACCGCACACAGTTACAGTTTATTATATTAATTACTACCATATATTAGTATAACATAAATAAATGTCATAAACTGCATTACTCGAATCACAGCTACTTTTGAGAACCTCTGACTTTTATTCGTATACAGAATGTAAAAGTAAAAGTGGATTGTGAACTCTTGACATCACTAGAAACTAGAGTGGCTACCACGGTACCAACACGGTTAAATAGGAGCGATTTTGTAAGATCGCAAACACGTTTTATTATTACTATAATGTATGGTTTTTTACGCATAATTTAAACGTTATTAAGATGAATTAAGAGTTAACTGCGTTTCTTTGAACATAGAGCTACGACACGAAATTTTCACGTACTTTTTTTATCAGAAATCATATACATTGAAAACAGTGACCTCTGATTGAAAAAAAGGATAGCGGGGAAAGTCTAAATTTTGATCATTCATTGATTTAATGTGTTTGTCATTTAGCGAAGTGGTAACCTTTGTGAAGACTGCATTAAGATTTTGTTTTGAAATGACATTTTTAACGAGACGATTGGTATCAGCCATGAATGGTAAAGTGTGATAATGGTCAACCGATTGGATCAAATTGGGTAATTGCCGTGCGTCCGCACGGAGGTGACCAACAAACTCAAACTACGCCAGTAAGTGCGAATTGGCAAGCATTGGTTCATTCTGAGTACACATGAGGTAGGGCGATTATTTCCAATGTTACCTTACTACTAGTGAGAAAAATACGCCTTTTCTTCCTAGGTATTTTACTCAGAAAACGAGAAATTTGTAAAGGAAATGAAACTAATTTTTCAAACAAACCAACGTTTCGGGCCCTTTATAGGCCCCATGGTCATGAGTGACTGAGATTATCTGGCACCTAACGAACTGGTAACATTTGCAAAGACTGTATTAAGTATTTGTTTTCAAATGACATTTTTAACATTAGTCACCCGCGACCATGGGACCTGTAAAGGACACGAAACGTTGGCTTGTTTGAAAAAACAAATATATGCGATTTAGATCCGAAAAATAGTTTCATTTCCTATGTATAAGAAATCGCGAAAATCTAATAACTCGGTAGAAGTTTGTAGTTTGCCTTGAAGGTCATAATGACCTCGCTACCCAATGGTTTTTGAAATGGACTGGATGAGGAAGTCGTTTAGGAAACGGACTTTTTTAAATTAGTATCTACCTATCGGAGTGTCCTGGGTATTCAGGGAAGTGCCCCTAAGTGAATGCGTCGCTCACGTCCTCATTGTACAAGGAATTCCCAAGTTTGAGACCAGGTAGTTGGGGTGATTTTCTTTTTTTATGTCAAGTAGGAGGCAAACGAGCATACGAGTCACTTGATGGAACGTAGTCATCGTCGCCCAACAGACGCCCAAATGGACGTCTGCAACGTCAGATGAGCTTCCTATGCGTTGCCAGCCTTTAAGAGCCCTGTCGATACGCTTTTTGGAGAACCCGATGTCATATCGCAAAGAAAATACTTCCACATCCGTGAGACCACCGAAACCACTCCACATCTTGCAGGTTCGAGGAAGGAACGAACGTGATGCGCACGTGGCTTTACAATGCCAGATATCAATTATGTAGGAATGGGCTTTACTCCTTTGGCGGCAGGTGCAATGGTGGAAACGTGGCACTTCGAAAAGTTTATCACGCCTATCACTCCTCATTTTATAGGGCCAGTTAAATATACACAGAGAGCCAACGTCTCTCCATAGCCTTAGGGACTCCACACCGTCCGTGAGTTTGGGACTATCGACAATGTCTGGTACATTATTATTATTTCAGTTCAACACTCAGGTGCCAAATAAGGAGATTACTCGTCTGTCCCAAATACTCTAGGTTGATACAGGAACAATTGGGTCATTCCTTAGGTCTTTTTATTCATGTGTACACGCGCTATTATTTAATACTACGTAGAATTCCCTAACACTGTAGAAGGTTACAGAGGAATAAAAAATCAGACCAAGTGCAAATGAGACTTACACAATTCTTGTTCCGCGCCGAAATCATCTTCGAAAGTAAATATTTTGTGTCCACTTTTTTTGTAGCACGTAAATTACTTACTACATATATTTTCCTCGAGATCATTTTTTTAAATGGAAAAATTCGAGAATTTCTTTGAAAGTTAGAAATTTTCGAGAAAGAATTTTGTTTTTTTTTAACAATAAAAACACGAAAAAGTTAACGACACAATTATTTGTGCTCATGCTATTACAAGCGTTTATACATTTAGTAAAAATCATAACAGCCTGTAACAACCATTGTTTATAAATCCATCTAAGACTAATTGCAGACATTTCTAGAGACTGAACTTATAATTTAGTCGTATTGAACCATTATTGAACACAGTATATTTCCTTTTTTTTTCCACCCTATATTTATATAACACACTTTATGGTGTTATATCTATAACAACAGCAAGGAATATTCAACAAACTAAGAAACTAGTTAAATGCTCATTGTGTTGTATTGGCTACGGTAAGTACTTATAGATAAAAAAAGCAATAATAATTAAGAGCAACGTAACATTCCGTGTGTTAATAAATTAACCTACTTACTTATCATAGATTGACAATGAACACTACTCGTCCTCGTAAAGTGCAAATGTATATCCATGAGTATAAAAAAAACATAAATAATAGTAAATGTAAACAAATATAACGTCAAAATAGTGTTATAATAAAGGTTGTTAAAGTCGAGTACCGTGTTTAGATCACGAGACTTAACCGAGTGATCTAACTAATAGATTTCAAGACCTTTTTTTTCAAGACCTAATGTAATGATTGCATACAATACTTTTCTACGAGTAAATGAAATTAAAGAAACACAACCAATATTTAATGTATATTTTGTTAACAATCCATGACAACAAACTTAAATGAAAGCCAAATAAACAAATTGTACAAAACAAAAACCAAAGAGATAGAATAGAAGTGTCCGTGATTGGCCAAGTACCGCTCATAATTAGTTCCTTTTTGCCAAATGATTACGCCTTCGTTCCTGTTATGTAACATTAGAGATATTATTTAATATAATCTCAGTACAGGGTACTACAAAAATCGACCTCAAAAGTTCATGGAATTACATCTATTTGCCAAGTTTTATTGAAATCGGTTACCGGAAAGTGTGCGAAACCGGATTTATCCCCTAGTTTGCCACCCTTAGAGCTGGAATATTTTCTTTTACTTTAAACGGGACCAACACTGAGGAGCCTCTGTCCAACAAAAAAATAATCATGAAAATCTGCTCACAAATGCCGCCGGAGTTATCGCGTTAACATACATATAAAAAAACGAAAATACAATCGAATTGAGAACCTCCTTGTTTTTTTTAAAAAGGTTAAAAGTAATTTTAATGTAATAATTTCACAAATATAGTGACGTTATTCTATTCATAAACACCGTTTAAGGAGATTCTTTTAACCAGCAAAAATACGACGTTCTTTTTTTAAAAACTTTAATTATAACGAAATGAAATTTGAACTAGTGATTTTTTTCAGTTCAGTAGCGAGTACCATAGACAATAGAATTTTAGTTCAGAACCAAAAAGAGCGCCTTTGTGATGTGGTTTATGAAATTATAATTGACAGATTAAAGTACAGGAGCAGAAAAAAACATAATTTAAAACCAAAAATTACTCTTGACATTACTGACGGGGCAATCATTCCATAGACAATTTTTGTGCATCAAGCATTTGCATTTATATTTATTTATTTATTTAACGATTACAAGACAATGGATAAAAAACCAAGTCGCTACAAACATAGAAACAACAAAAAATAAACAATACATACTACAGTATTTAATTAACAGACATCATTAGTTCAAACACGTTCTTACATTCACTAATCAGACATCCAATCGTGCTATCAAATAAATCAGAATGTTGATCTAAGTCCAAACTCATTTTATATCAAACTCGATGACTTTGAAAGAAACTTACAAATTCCCAAAATAAAATGTAACTTTTATATTAAGTATAGAACATGGCTGTGATTGAGCCGTCAAACTAAGTTTCAAAAGTAGTTTTATTTTATGATAGCAAGTGACGGGCCGAACAAATCGTCTGTCTGGTGGCAAGCGACACGTCTCTCCATGTCAGTTGCAGTGCCACTCAGATTTTTACGTCACAAAGATCTGAGGGACACTCTCACTGCGCCCGTTAACCTGAGACATAAGTTGACAACGTCCCTGTAATTTCACCAGCATCATTACCGCTTAAAACAAAAACGCAATAATGTACACATTACTGCTTGGCGACAGAAATAAGTAAAGTGGCAGTACTGTTTAAATCATAGAGTGATGTTATACATAATACATCGAAGAGACTGAACTGCCTTTTGGGTGTTGTGAGTTTATGGACCTTATATGTGCCTATGAAAAAGAACTGTCACGATTATGCAAATACTTCGTAATAGCTAACGAAGCTCAATAATCCATCATCTCAAAATACGTCGTTATTTAGCAATACAGATGGGTTTGCTACGTCTCTATTACGTTGCACTTGTTGAACTCTCTATGCCACTGTAATTCCGTTACTTAATCGTAACAGTTAATATATAGAACAGAAATATAGTGAAGCTATTTCGTCGATGTCGCCGTTCTCAGTTCGAATAGTTCAGATTATGAATTTTATCAAGTACTATGCTTTATATCGGAATATAAAATATTACGGCTATTAATTGTTGCGGATGCTAAAGTAATAAATACTAAAACGTGACGTGTTACAGGTAATATTTAGTACGTATATAATGTACTCGTCACGATATGGTCAACCACGTATTCCCGATACAAATAAAAATACAGCGGTGAATATAAAAGGAAACTTTGCCGCTTATTCGACACAATTCGAAGTATTCTTACTGAAGCAACGTTTCGCTTCAAGGGTGCATTGCGCAATATATCGCAGGAAACTCATGCACATTATAAATTTCCTCGAAAACTAGTATAGACTTGGATGCCTTGAAGTTGATAACAAATATAAAAATACCCAAAAGAGAGAGTATAAATTCGTGAACAAATAGAAATGCTGTGACTACGTAGACAATGGCATCAAAGGTAAGACGTTTTCACGCATAGGTACTCTTATTTGTCAGTCTTGCTAATTGGGATATGTGTCACAAATTTCTAATTTTACGTAATAAATTATAAATATCTCCTCGTTGATCATTATAATCCCTATAAAAATAATAATATTGCTTCTCCGCAGTTCCGTTCGTCTGTCATATCAACGTTAATATTTTTTACTTCCCAACTCATTACTTTCTTATCAGGCGTTTTATCTTGCAGGTTATAGTTGCCTTCTGTATAATAAGTATCTCCAATAAGATATACGCTTCTGATCACCTGGAGACAAAACCAAAAAGCGAAACTTGGCTACAGGAGCTCAATGGTTCTTCTCCAAATTGGGAGAGAGATTGGCAAGGATGGAAGAACTCTCCAAACTGGATAAGGCACAAAAGAGCTGATGTGCCAACCACTCCTCAATTTGCTAATCCTCTAGTTGAAGCCTGGTTGAAGGAAATACAGGCGTCGCCTGATGGGATGAAGGACTACGAAGCGTGGAAGAATTCACCTAGTTTTGTAAGACACAAACGGGATGACTTGTCAACTCCTCAGTTTACTAACCCCGCAGTTGACGCTTGGCTTAAAGAAATACAATTATCACCAAATTGGGAAAAAGATTTGGAAGGTTTTAAGAATTCCCCGAACTGGATCAGATATAAGAGATCTGAAGAATCTTCTGCACCTAAACTTTCGCAGCCTGATGTAGAAGTATGGTAAAAGAAGATAATGCCATCTTCCTATTATGTCAAATAAGAAGACATGGTTACACAAAAGCACCAGACTGGATAAGGAATCGACGACAATAAAAGATACTTTATTGTACAAGGAGTACCAATTTATTTACCTATACATATTGAGCGCACTGTTTTTTTTAATCAATATTTATATATTTTCTCAATTTAAAATCTATTGCATATAACTTTAAAATATTGTATTTTTTAATTTTTTATAAAATATGCATTACCAAAGTATTGGTTACTGTTTGATTCATTAACATTTGGGTTTCATTGTGCGTTTTCTACAATATTTTATACTAACTAAATATTTTATACATTAATGTAGCCGCATAACGTATTCTCATGGTCTATCACCTTAAATATAATTTTCACTGTCGTACTAACCAAATTTCTTAAACTTCTTAAAACTATACAGTATTTAATGAATGAAATAAAAACGGTTATTGTTCAACTTCTTTTTCTTGCCTATCTCCAGTAACAAAAAGATCTTCAGAGCAATGAATACTGGCGTAATCAACCACATCGTTTCCAAAATTTGTTGAATCTTTTTCTACTTAATGTGGTTTTACCCTATCCTCTTGCACCTTGACCTTATCTTCTTGAAATTCAATTTCATGCTTCTTTGTTGTCAATTTGAAGTAAGAAGTAAAAATTGGCCAAGTATGTAGCGCATTCGCTGTTGTTAAAATTGATTTTTTTTCTTTTTGCTAACGAGTATTTAAAACAGGCGTCTCAACCATGTGTAATATTATCCTAAAATTTCTGCGTCATATTTGTAAGTGAGAAAAATTTTTCACTTTTGTTTGAAGATATTTCAGTAAATTTTTTTTTCGTATATGATTCTGAGGGCAGAAAGTACGTATAAATTGCATCAATCAGTGAAGATTCAGTAGAGCCTTTATTTGTTGCCGTACTTTTATCGACGGTAGCAATTGACGTACTGCACCATGAAGAATTATTTCCTAAAAGCGCTAGACTAGTCACTTCAGGCTTAATCCGCCTTTTTAATTCTCTGTAAGGACAATTTATTGGATAATGTTTTGTGCAAAGTTTCACTAAAATTGGCAGCATATTATTGTTTTCTTTTTTTGTTACCTCTCTCGTTACGACATAAATTTTTCTGCGGAAGTGGACAACTAATGGAATCGTTGATATCCCTCGTATTTTCTTTCTTAACTGTTTCGTTGACATATTTTTTCTAGTTACGGTTCCTTCGCTAGTTGTTTTAACTGTCGTGTGTTTTGTGGGTACCACAGTATGCTGTACCGTCATCGGTACCATGCTTAATTTTGTAGGTTCCAATAATTCTACACTAAATGGATTTGACACAACATATGGTGTTTGTCCCATGTATCTGCTCCATGAATGACTTAATTGTACTTTGCGTAACACTTGGTTTACATTCTTTTTAACTAGCTTCATAAAATATGGACCCCCTCCCTTAGTCACATTCATGTGTCTCAACTCATTATGATTAAATTCTTGTCTAGTGTCTATCGTCGTCCCCTTCAGTAAGCACAATAAAGTATTAATATTTATATGATTCTTAGCGATATTTTTTTTAGGCTGTAATCGGACAGAACGGACTCTATTTAAGTAATTTCTATTCGTAAATCCAATCTTTCCAGAAAACTTGTTGAGTAATGTGTATACGCCCTTAGGTTTTGTATCTTGTCTCTTGTAACTCGAAAGTGAAAAAAAATTGTTCAAAGATTTCGTTGCAATATTTACCTCTGCAGTCCGCAAGTTACATTGAATCAAAACTGACATCTGAAAACAAGGAATAACATGTCTTTAAAAAACACTTCTCTCTTAATCTTTTACAGCCTGACATGGCAGTGTGACAATAACATAAGGGTTCAGGGGGCCTACTATGAGCGTACATTCGTATCTTGACCTACACAAAGTTGAACGGTAATGGCATGGCTGGGTGGTGAGTTTTATTTTTATACATATTTATTTATTTATTTATAAAGCATTGGCTTCAGAGCCATCAGCTTAATGGTAACAAATAATCAAGAAACGCACAACGTAATATACATAGACTAAAAATTAATTCGTGTAAAAAATGTAACTATTAGAACCCGCGCTTTTGTATTCAAGAGAATTACTTTTTAAACGTTAATTATTGTCTCTGGCTGACTAGCTGACATCTCACAAGAGCGAGATGGAACTACATGCTAAATCATATGAAAGAAATAGACAGATGTACTGTCCTGGGAGCGTTCAAGCAGTATTGTGTTCAAAATGAGAATTTATATATTTATATATTTTTATTACATTTTTTTTATTAATTTTATTATTGATTATACTTACTACGTTGTTTTGTAATATCGGCGGCAACTTTCAATCATACTTTACAATTTGGCGTATGACAAAATTACATGTTATGTCTAGTCATTATCATTGAAATTAACCAGGTGAGTTTGTAATTTGATAACATAATTGGAACGTATCGTGTATTCGTACATTTTCATTGATTGCATTAAAGTCAAATTTGGCAATATTTAAAAGTTATTTTACGATTTTCGATCAATAAAATTATTAAAATAATTAAAATTCCATTTAAAAATTGCAGTAACGTTCATGCCAATAGTTTATCAACAAATTTTGAAAAAACGCTCAATAGTTAACAGTATTTGTCTATTGACAATTGGCTATATAGCCTATAAAGATAACAAATAATTATAAAACTGAAAATATAATAAAACTTAAATGTTATTTCTTAAAAATGCAACAAAATCTAAAAAAAGATAGTCACGGAGTAACTTTTTTTGAATTGCTTATTTTTACAGATGGGACCGCTATTTGCATGACAAATAGCACGTCATGATACGATTTTGCTATGAAAGAAAAGATGAACGAATTTCGAATGGGGAACGTAAACTGCATGGACTGTGAATTATTTTTGTGAGGTCATGGTACGAATTTGACAGGCAATCCAACTTAGAGGCTTAAATAAGATTGCTCTACGAGCTCACAGTAAAACCCTAGGTTTTCTGAAAATTCCTTTATTAGGTACGAAACTTTAAATAGCGAAAAAATATTACTGATTATACGATTACTTACCACAAATATGAAGCTAAACATTTTACACCCATAATTATACATGTATCTTTTTTATACTATTTGTCACCCACAGTTGTTCACATTTCTCGTCGTAGTTGCAACCAGTATCTAACAAAGTTCGACGTTCAATGAAGTTTATGAACGATTTGAATCTTATAAATTAGTATCCAACAATAGACTTGGCCGTCTCACAACATATAATTAAAATAAACAGCAGTTATAGCAAACAATGTCGCACTCAAGCATATATATCAATGTAAACATACATATTTCTACGCTCCGCAGAGATCTCACGCAAAATAACGTGGTGATTTATGAGCAGCACAGCTCCTTGTGATAAAGTTCATCTGGGGAAGTACTGATACTTTACATATTTCTGCCGTCAAGCAATAATGTGAGCATTACTGCGTTTCGGTTTTGAAGAGTACGTACGGGTGCTGATGCAATGCCTCTCAGATCTTTGGGATTTAAAGCTTTGAGCGGCCCTGCAATTGTTATGGACAGGCGTGTCGCTTACCACCAGATGCACGACTTGTTCGTCCCGTCACATTACTTTCATATCATTATCAGTCTATAAGCCTACCTTACACTATGCCTGATCTTGGGGTACGCACATTTTCTTCCTGATGTGTTACGCAGATCCTCGTATCTTATACTATGAAGCCACTAAACACTGCGTTGGAATAACTCGTAACAAAAAACACTACTATTATCAAATTTTTCTAACTGCAAAACGAAATATAACTATTATATGTGACTAATCATAGGTCCCACTGCACGCACACGCCTTCTCTCACAAAGAGAGAGCTTGGTCCGCGCAGTCCTGATGCGGATTAAGTTCTTCATACACATTATGAAACGTGTACAGGTTTCGTCACGGTGTTCGCCTTCACAGAAATAGTATCTAACTATTTGAAAAATACTTTTTAACATATACACTCCTATCCCCGCAGTAGGTGAACCCTGTCTCGGATCAGATCGACACCCTCACACCCAAACTGACGAAAGAACAGTAAGGTAAGATTTTTGTAATCAATTTTGGTGACATTTTTGGTGACAATTTTTATTATTTAATTACTCGAATATATTATCGTCAAATACTAAAGAATATTTCAGGTTACCACACTCGAATATGAAATAATACTTCATGGTGATATTCTATAAATATTTAAATAAAAAGAAATTGTCACCAAAATGGACTACAAAAAATTACCTGAAAATTACCCTTAAAAAGTTCGAAAGAAAACCTTAAGTCCCTACCTAGTACTAAACAGTGTGTAAAATTCGCACCTACATTTTAACTGAATTTTTGTATACAGGCTTAAAGTATATTTTTTTACTAATACATACAACATTATTTATTTGTATTGAATGTATATAAACTAAATAATAAAATAACCGACTCATGTTGGGCAGGTTTTCAGCAATTACCAACCGTTGCGTTTTTGCTTGAATGTAATCTACAGGAAACATAAACTCAACTCCCTACTAAAAGAACATTCTCCAACTAATATTTAATAAGTAAGGTAAATTAAAAATTAAAAATTTAAATAATTTTATTTATTATTTGCAATTACATTAAATACAAATCGTATTACAACATTTTAGATATAACTATCATATTATTTATTTACAGATATACATTTATATTGCCTTAATTAGTTTTTGTTTACACGTATATCGATACAACACGAATTCAGGCTCGGAAAATTCACGCGGTAAGAAAAATGGCAAAGGAAACCAAACGACAAAGAATGATTTTAAAAATACTGACGATATTGATGTAAGCGATGAAAAGGACGCTTCAGGTGAAAGGAAGAAGATGAGGAAACAC